GAACGTGGAATGGCCCATGGCCGAGTGCCAATAGGTGATGGTTGTGTGGATAAGCAAGCACTTGCAGCAACAGCTAAATCCCATCGTTCTTCAGCAAGCACGGCTGCTTATCAAAACAGGGTAGATGAATATGAGCAGTTGAAGGAGAGGAATGATGCCTTGGAATGAACAAATAAGAAATTGAATGAGAATAATGAGATTCTCATTGAGAAAAATGGTGTTAATTGTGAGCTTATGCTAGTAATAAACAATACCTTTTCATTCAACAACTTATTGATCATATGCATTGATTTCATGTGCTTACACATCAAAATTTTCAGAGAATTTTTGAAGATCTTAATAAGCAACCACCTGCTGATCTAATGGATCGTCTAGCAAATCTTGAAGCCCGCCGTCATTAGGTAAATGTGATTCTATTCACCAAACCTGAATCTAGTTTACCACAAAAATTAGTTAGTACTCTATAGAAAAATATGAGCCTACTGTATAACCCAACACTGGATGCTGAGTTCCTTGGGTCTCTTGATTTGTCCAAATGACCAAGTTTCAGATTAACTAAATTAGCTGGAAGACAGGGAAGGGCACCAGGCTTCAAAGTCAGATGTTCAAATTTGCTAGTATGGTTTTAATGCAACCAAAATTACAACTTTGTTATTTCTATAGAATTTGTGAGTCGAGGAGCATAATCTAGAAATAGTTTTTTTACTTGCATCTGGCAGGACGTCATTTCAGGGTCTCAGACATCAAATGAAAGCCTGTGAATATGACAATACTAAGGAAATGGAAGTAGAGTGTCAATTTAATGAAAAAGCTAATGATGCTAGATATTTTTAAAACTATTTACCTTGTCGTACATTGAGGGTGTTATATTAGCAGCAGCAGTCAACTGCTACCTGCAGTTGTGCACACATCAAACAACATGTTATGAAACTCTCTTTTTACTTGAGCACTGAAACGTTTCAAACATACTTGATCTTTTTTAGGTCTCTAAATCATCACATGCTGCCACTCAACCACTTGAAATGCTTAGCGATGCCAATGACATAGTGACCGATGATGATGACTATGACTACAATGAGATGGATGACAGTAACAGCTATGATGATGACAACGATATCTATGATGACTTTGATGAAGATGATGATGGTTGTAATGATTCAAGGGCGGTGAAGATGATGACATAAGCAGTAGCTATGTAGAAGAGGATGGCAGTGATAATAATGGGGCTGATATCAGTGATAACTGATGCAATGGATGTGATTGAAACCTGACCATTGTTAGCCTTTTGGCTTCTTTTGCTAACCAGCCATGCTTGCCCTTGTTTTAAACACTTGGATGGAGTAAGTATGTGTATGTGCTAGAACTTTGTGCTTCTTTTGGTGTTGTAGTAAGTATGTGTATGTGCTGGAACTTGTTATATTGGATGGTTAGGACTATGTGGTGGAACTTATCATGTTGGATGTCTAGGATTATGAGCTAGTAAGCCTTGCAGTGTAATGGTTGGACACTGGATGGAGCTAGAATATATTGCGAATGGAATCAGACGCATATATGGATGTATTGGAATTTTAATTTTATGTGTGTTGGATTGGCATTTGAATCATATGTGTGCATTTGGAAATTGGTTTGAGATGCTCCTGTTGGGTAATTTTCATGATGGTTTTGACTCAGGAAAACATACTTTTGTGATGGTCTGGACATATTTTCGTGGTGGTGTGCTCTCATGAAATACGATATTTCCTGTGAGTTATTGGAATTTATTTCATGACGGTGACTCTCACGAAATCCATTTCATGACGGTGACTCTCATGAAATACCTAACTCTCACGAAATCCATTCGTGAAGGTGAACTCTCACGAAATACCAAACTCTCACGAAATCCATTCGTGAAGGTGAACTCTCACGAAATACCACAAAAAACTGTCATGAAAACACCGAAGCAAACCTGGTGGCAACATTATTTTCATGAGGGTGGCCATCACAAACTCCCGCCATGAAAAGAATCCGTGGCGGTGAACTCTCATGAAAATGTGATTTTCGTGTGTCTATTATCGTGTGTAGATGCGTGATGGTGTACTCTCATGCATTATTTTTGTGAGAGTAAAACCATATTTCATGACGTGTTTAGTACTCTCATGAAATATCTAGTTTCTGGTAGTGTCAACGACGAAGCCTGTTCGTCACAGTTATGAATAAGATCGTCACAGACGAGCAGGAACAGTCGCGAGTGATCTGTGACGAAATCATGTGCTGTTATGTGATGTTTTTTTTGTGACAATACCCGATTTCGTCATAGATAAGGGAGGGTTCAAGGTTCGTCACGGTGATCTATGATGAAACCAGAATTTTCGTCATAAAAAATGATTTTTTATGACGGTTTCGGATTCGTTATTAAAATTTTCGTCATAGAAGTAGATATTCCTAGTAGTGAGTCCTACAAGATAGGAAAGCAATTAATGAGTTTAGTTATGCACATTGTAGAAAAAAAAATCAATAACTATTATCCACCAGATTGAGCAATAAAATATGTAGCAAGGAACAACCTATTAAATAAAAAATAATTAAATGTAATTAATATGTCACGATCATTAATTCACTTTTATGAAAAAAGAGAAGTTATATACTATTAGGATACCAAATTCGAGTATATGTTGATGATGATACAACCTACTTCCCCTAAAAAACAACCTACTTAATAAGAGGGGAAAGGGAATCTTAACTCCTGAGCCTCTCCTTGGCCGATCTACATTTGGTATTTTTGTGCCTTTTAATGCAAGAATTGCCTTTCCTTGATATCGAACATAATGCATAAGATGATCCATAAAGAAACATAACAATTCTAGATTTTTTGGGTTTCTATTTTCTTCAGGGGAACACATGGGCGTATAAGTGACCATGCAATAAACTATGTGTCCTGTACTTTCATTGCAACGCACGGGTATGTTTGCTAGTATATATAATGTCTGGAAAATTAATGGTCAAAGTATACCTCTCAAAAGGCTTTAACAAATCCAAGTACGCCTCATAAAATTAAAAGTAATGGAAGGAGTATATGTCAAATAATGTCGTCCATTTCCCCATCATCTTAGCTTTGTATGACAATATTACCCAACCCAAAATTGTAGTTAATCAGTATGAAAGCTCTCTGGAAAATAGTATATACCAAGGAATGTGTTGTGTACCTAGTAACTAGTTATAGGCACAAACAACTCTCTTCCTCCTTAGCTAGTAATTCGATTAATTATATACATACAGGGTAGTTTTTTCTAAGAGCACATGTAGTTTTTACTTGCTATAATTCCTTGTACACTCACACCAAGTCAAAACCTTGGTAGGAGTGTATCCACCTAGCTTGTATCAATATCACAACCCTCACCTCAAGATAGGTGCTGTACATGCAATAGTGGATATATCAAATCGTCTTGTAATATGATCCTCCCTAGAACTGGACCCCCTACATGAACCCGTTTGAAAACATCAAATCAGAGCAGGGAACGAGAGCAGCAAGCAGGTGCATGAGAAGAGGAAATAATTGGCTAAGGGCCTGTTTAGATTCCAAAAAATTTTGCGTAGTATCCGTCACATCGAATCTTGCGATACATGCATGGAGTACTAAATGTAGACGAAAAAAAAACTAATTACACAGTTAGGTGAGAAATCGTGAGACGAAACTTTTGAACCTAATTAGTCCATAATTAGACACTAATTACCAAATACAAATAAAATGCTACAGTGAGCCAAAATCCAAAAAATTTTGGATCTAAACGGGGCCTAAGTCAAGGATAGTTGGATGGCCCTTCAATGCACGCAGCTATGCTTGGAGGTGGCAAGTCTTGTACTTGCTGGTCCCTGGCAGCAAAAAGAAATGTGCCTTTGTCATTGGCCATTGTGACAGTTGTCAATTGTCATGTAAGTTGCTGCTTAAATTAATTATCAGATAATTACTAACCATCACCAATGGGTTAGGACCACACTACATACAGATTTTTTAGAATTAACTGTGCATAATTCTTGTGCTAATCACCCTCACTTTCTGCATGGCACATGCACTTTGTTCCCTCCACCAGATAGTGTGGTTAAGATCTCACAGCCCAAACTAGTTGGCCTCTGCTTCTGTTATGATGATGATCTCCATCTATATCTGTTTTTCTTTTCAAAATTAATTATACATCTACACGTACTGCAAAATGGCAGCAGTACTACGTAGTTTAGAAAACGACTTTTTAACTTGAGCAATGTACAATTAATATCCACAGTAACAGTTTCATGTTTCCACTTTCCATCACACACACACACACACACACACACACTATCAATGCATGTTATGAGTCAGGGTGGATCGGAGCCAGCTGGGCAGCTACTAGTGCTAAAGCAAAATGCATGGATTAATGTCTCTGCATGTCATTTCTTGCTTAGTAAATGCTAAGCTTATTATAAGTTGTACTAACCTATCCATGCAAGAGCCCCACTTGTAGGTCTCTACAAGGCTCTCTAGCTTTTTCCTCTCACACTGCAAGTTACTCTAACATGCTGCCTTCATTCTGAAGCTTGAGAGCTGATCTTGATCAGTACACCCCTCTTGTTATAGTAAAACATAAGTTACAGAGAATGTTGCAAAACCCTAGCCCAAAGGGTCCCCCTTTCCACATTAGGGCAGCCCTCCCTATCCTGCTTCGACACCACCCATCAGCCACATGGTGAGAAGTGAGACATGCCATGCTACCCAAATCATCACCTTGTTGTACCTTCATGTGTGTATATACATCACATTTCTCTCCTCTAGCTTTACACTACACCTAACTCCACACTAGCTAGCTAGGCTAGCTCATATGCTTGCACCTAGCTAGCTAGCTCCTCTTCTCCAACACAGGTGATCTGGCTAGTGAGAATAATTAAGGTATAGTAGCTTCCATTGCCAAGATATGGTAGGCAAGCCGCCACAACACCGCCATCACCATGGCTCCTCCTCACTTGGGGCAGAGGAGCTCAACCTCTTGCACATGGCCAGGGGCTCCCCTCCGGACGGTGGCGGTGGAGGCAGCGGCCGCGGCCGCGGCGAGAGCCGGGGCGCGTTGGGCCAGTGGAAGTGCAGGCTGCTGGGCTCCCTCCGCCCGCGGCACCCGCGCTGCGTGGTGTGCCTGCAGGTGCAGCACGTCACCGGCCTGCCCCCGGCAGCGGAGGGCCGTGGGGTGGTGGTGGGGTGGCGGAGCAAGGGCGGCGAGGGGGAGCACACGGCGCCGGCCCGGGTGGCGCGGGGCGCCGCCGCGTTCGACGAGGTGTTCCTGCAGCACTTCACCGTCGGCGGCGCCACGCTGCGGGGCTTCACCGTGTGGGCGGCGCTCCTGGACGCACCCACCAATAATGGGGATCTTGGCGCGTTCCCCGTCGACCTCGCCGAGGTCGCCGCCGCCGCGGCGGAGACCTCCAACAACCCCAGAAAGTTCGGAGGCAAGGCGCTCAGCTTCCCGCTGGGCGGGGCGGCGGCCGGTGCGGTGCTCACCGTCAGCATCTACTGCAGAGTGATGGATCGGCACGAGGACAACCATGGGGCTGCTAACAATGGTATGTGATTGTTGAACTAGACACTGATGATGCGTTATAAGCTTTTTATTTACACCTAGTATTATAAATACATGCAATATTGGTAGGCAAACAAATTATTTCATCAAAATGAATGAACTTTAATTTCCTGATGAGAAGCTAGTTTGTACTAGCTCTCTTCAAGCATGACCTGTTGTGTTCATTATATAGAACAATACCATGTTCATGCATGGTAGGAAGAACTCTTCATTCTAGTGAGTTTTGATGCTAGTGCTTTTGACCATCCTCAGTTTAACCAAGTTCATGTAGAGAAACAAAGAGTAGTAACAAATTCCCACATTAAAGATGCAAATTATGATAATACATTTCATAATGTGTCTAGTTAAGCTTATTTGATATCTTAAATATTATAGTTTTTCTATAAATTTGGTTAAACTTATAATAGTTTGACTTAGAGGAACTGAAAACAATTTATATTTGAGGACGGATCAAGGATATGTATATATACATGGAATCAATTGCTACACAATAAATAGTATGATCTCAATTGCTTGATGCAATTCATTATGTTCATATATACTGTATATAGCTACTAGTTTATTAGGCGATGCAGCTCTACTTATTTGCTTTAAAAAGAAGAAGAAGAAGAAGAAACAACGTGCGTCCATGGTGACTTAGGTCAAGCAAGAGAGAAGAAGAACAAGGGAAAAGCAGGCTCCTACGCCTCGTGCCTGCCGGACCTGAGCTGCCTCCGCAACCGGCAGGTGGCGGCAGCGGCGGCATCCGGTGGGTTGGCGCGCCGTGCCACGTCTATCCGCTCCGACCGTGGCGGCTTCATCACCATCGAGAACTCGGTGGCCGAGATGGACGGCGGCGGCGGGGCCGGGGCGACCTTGGGCGTGGCGGAGGACGTGGACGAGGAGGAAGGCGCGGGGTTCATCACCATGGAGAAGAGCAGGGTGTCGTCGAGGTCGTCGAGCCGGCCGCTGCCGCCGGACACGGTGGAGGAGGAGGAGGAGGACGAGAAGCCGTGCCTGTTGATGGAGCTGTCGTCGGAGGCGGCGGCGTCGGCGGCGGACGTGGAGAAGGTGGAGGAAGAGTTCCTGGCGATGCTGGAGGACAGGTACTGGGCCAGGAGCAAGGAGATCGAGAAGGGGCTGGGCGTGAGCCTGGACATCGGGCTGGACCTGGGCCTGGACCTGGACTCGCTCATCAAGGACGCCGAGATGGAGCTCGCCAAGTCGGAGCAGGCGTGGAAGAGCAAGGTCGGCGCCGCCATCGTCGAGGAGGAGGAGTACAAGGAGCTCGTCCGGAGGTGGAGCGCCAGGGAGACCAGCCACCACTCTGATGCTGCTGCTGCCACCGGCTGCTCCTGGGGCTTTGGATTCGGGAGCCCAATCTGAAAATGGAGGCGGATATGCCTCCATTGTTGTTTTTCTGTCTACTCTACTCATCATGCATGTCTAATGTTATTATATATATATAGATGAATATGTTGATCCGATCATTAATGTATTGTAATTTGGCTGATAAGTACAATGTAATATTGAGAAAATTGAGGCTCGTTTGATACAACTCTGCTTTTCATGTGGAGTAGAGGTTTTTTTTTAATCTTAGCTCTACGAGCAGCTTTGCTAACGGAGTTTCGAAAATATTTGGTAAAACAATTTTCAATACTAGATATGAAAATGAGTATTAAATATGAGAGTGAGTTAGGAGAAACTGGTACTCTCTCCGTCCAGGAAAGAATGCAATTCTAGCAGAGTATTATGGTCTAGTATCCTAAGTTCGATTAATTATAGATAAAAAAGTATCAATATTTATGATATCAAATAAATATCATTAGATTAATTACGAAATATATTTTCATAATAAATTATTTTAGAGTTGTAAACGTGAATAGTATTCACTAGAAATTTAATTAAATATGAACTATTTTTACTGGCACGTAACTCATAGTTGCATTCTTTTCTGGACAAAGGAAGTACTTCGAGTTTCATCCGACACCCATCGTTGTGAGAGTAGTCACTCTGTCCCTAAATAATTGTTGTTATACCCAGCTATTATCTTTCATCTAAAAAAAAGTTTAACTAGATTTGTAGAAAATATATACAGTATTTGTATCTCCAAATAAAATTATTATGAAAATAATAGATTCAATGATGTGTCTAATGATATTAATTATGTGTACCATAAATATTAATATTTTTTTATATAAAATTAGTTAAAATTATTTCTCACGAAGCGAGACCGACGGTTAAGAAGGGAGACGGAGGGAGTAGGCTTTGAGGAGGAGCCTCCCTTAAGAAATTGCCTAATTTTAATAAAAAGAAACACCTCCTGCACAGGGCATATATAAGGGCGTCCCAGCGGTACTAGAGACGCCGGCGGCTGACGTAGCAGTGTAAACGAATGTATATAGAAAAATAAATAAAAGCCTGAACTTACCGATGAGAAAGATGAAGCGACCCCACAACTGCAGAGACTGTTGATATTTTGGAAACTGTGCGAGACCAGCAACAAGCAACAAAGCACTCGCTAGTTTTTTTTTTTTTTAGCCTTCTCTCTTCACCAGGTCAGCTCTTAAACACAATCAGCAATCAAATCGCTAGCTCAAATCTACTTGGTGGGGACGCCCTAAAGGACGAAAGAGAAACCATGCATGACCTGGATCGTCATTCAATCGCTTCTTGTTTCAAGCTCATTCATGACATCGCCATGCCTACCCATACTCAGCAATTAGGAACAGCCGTTTTGCTCTGGCCCCAACTTTGCTCCTGTTTCTCTATGCCGCACGTGCTAGGTAAAGTTTTAGCTCGACACCACATTAGTCTCCCAAAAAACAGGCATGGCCTAGTTGATCCAGAAAGCAGGCACAACACTACGAGTACAGAACTGAACAACCATGGAACTAACATATTCAGGCTGAGGAGATGACATTTGAACACCATAAGCACCATGTGTCTCCTCGCTAGTCTGTCTAACCACAGCCCCACATGCTAGAACAAAAGCAAAAGGTGATCTGCACGGCAGCCGCTAGAATTGCTCATTCTTATCTTAGAACAAAAGCAAAGCGAGCACACAGCTAGTACGAGAAGCTCATGCATTCATATGCTGCCAAAACTGGCCGACCCGGTGGGATGCCTCTGATCAGGGGGGCAAAGCAGGATTAGCATATGGGGATCCACCAGCAGGGCTGGTCCCCACAGGCCACATTTCAGCAGGGCCTGGTTTCATGGCCCCCTCCTACTGTTAGATTACACTAATGGTCACATATTTCAACCGTCAGGCGAGTCTTTCGATCCTGCAAAGAACCAGCAGCAGAAGAAACGAGGTGTCCACGAGTCCCAGTAAAGCATTCGAGGATGAATTCCACGTGTGGTTATTTTACACAGGGCACCGAAAAGAAAGAACGCGGGATCACGTCAATTGCCTACCTAGCTAAAATTATTCAGGTTACACAATATATATGGACTCAATTCAAAGGACAAAATTACTCGCCAAAAATGAATCTACTTGATAGATGCAAGCTGTCCCTACGCTAAGGCAATGTTTCTGTGTACAGGTACAACAAAATAAAAAAGCAATCTACCTGGCTGGCCCTGGATCTTGAAAACCTGCAGGACCCCGCTGCCAAGAATGGTCCCCTGAGTACGATGGGTAATGACAGAAGTTCCCTTGATTTGATTGGTAATGAAGCCTTCCCTCGAGCTATTTTGCAATGCTGACGTCATTTTCCAAATCCCATACCACGATTTTACCGTCCAATCCTGTAAAACGTGTGTCAAGTAATGTCAAAACATGTTCAAAGAAAAGAGCTGGAAGCAATTGGAAGGCTCAGCTATAAACCTGACGTGCTGAATCGTTTGATAGTACCGTCGCTTCCTTTTACCAAGGGTACAATACACCTGCCGATATGAAGAAATTATTAGTCTGTCTGAGACGCGAGCACATCACTGGAAGTACCGAAATAAAGACGAGGAGTTAAAGACGGTACGTTATGCAATTCTCATGGGCCCCACCACGAGGTTTTGATGGTTCAACGGTGTCGCTACTAGTCCCTTGCTTTGATTGGCCATATAGCTTTCCAAGGGCTTCAGAGAGCTGAAATGTTTTTTTTTTTCGGTATTATTAGTTCATGAGTGATGTTGACTTGGTGATCAGAACTTACGTGTACATACAACTAATTAAATTATGTACTCCTGGCAAAGTTTCAGGTACTGAACTAAATTACTTTTAACATTCAAGAGTTTAACTACACAAATAAGCAGTAAATTGCTAGCTATAACAGCAGGCTGCCAAAAAAGACCACACTGACTAACCTTTGCTGCCTAGTACCGATTTTCCTAACTGACCAAAAATAAGATAAGTTTGGCATCAAAATAAATAGGTCAAACACCACGGAATATATTCCATGTAAATCTTTATGACAGAGAATTCCACCTGGACCGGGATTAGTTACATCTAAACAAAGCCTTACCGAGAACCACTACCATAAAGGTTATACTTGGCTGAAAAGAAACCCATAATAAGACAACCAACCAAATTTTGCAAGCAGGGCTTGCAATATGTAGTAATTAGGGGGGGCCATCTGAGCATCTGGCCATTGGCAACTCTTACATTATTTCTTGTATGAACAAACAACGAAACAATTCAAACCAAGCTCCATCATTAAGAAAGGAATTGGTTCACCTAATACTAAACCATTTAGGATAAAGTTGATGAACATAGAGTGAATAGCGCCCTCACATAATAGCAAAACAAAGGTAAGTATAATATGGACAGGCGTTCACTACATGAATTAACGATAGGGAAGAAAAAAAAAATATAGACCTGTGAGGCTTTTGAAGCTGATGGGGCAGCTTTCCTCTCATCCAAGAATCTTATGAAACTCCTACATAACAAAAGGTGTAGCTATGGTAAAAAGAAGGCTTAGATGTCATGAATGAAAATCGGAGTGGTGTCCTGTAGAAATGGATTTCAGTAAAAAAAGAGCAATGGGATATTTTGCGAGGGTACTGATGTTAAAAGGATTAATAGATTTGAGGTATGCATAGCAATTTACATGGTTTCTACTTTCTACTGGAAGCAACAACTCAGTTCGGAACGCTTCAGGACTACAAGGGAAATGAAATATAAACAATATAAGAAAAATGCTTCTATATGGATCTTTGCTTACCAAAGCCCAGTATCATCAGCAGCAAAGATCATAGGATTGCAGTCAAATCCGACACCAATCAATGTGCGCTCAGAGACAAAAAGAACCTGAAAGTTTGAGCAGTTGTTCAACATTATGAAACACAGAAATCACAACACGCAATTAAATAGTATCAGAAGGGAAAATGCTGACCCACATCACGGAGAGGCAGATCACGCAGCGCCAAATTTTGTGCTGCAGGAGACGATTCGACTTCATCGATGAAATAAACCATGGAGTTGTGCCCTGGTAATCAACGTACATGTCAGCGCAACAGCATGGTTGTTATGCTATAACAAATGGTGTCGTAAAAACAATGCAGATTTGACACTCTCAATAACAATTTGGTAGAGGAACAAGAACCTGCATAGGCCAATGTCTTCCCACTTGGTGACCACCTTACACCAAATACCCAAGTAGATGATAGATCAAGCTGAGCAATTTGCTGCATCCAAACAGGAGAAAAAATATTACAAGGATGAATACTCATTTCCACAGGGAAATAAAACAAATCATATGTTATTCATGATTTGCACTAAGCCTATGACAAATGAAGGGATCTGAGCAAGCATTCCACAAAAATAATAATAACTCAGCATAAGGTTAAAGCTTAGCTCAGTGCATGAACAGATTAAGTGTTATTTTTCAACAGTAGATGGTATAGGTGCGTCAATAGTCAATAGACTTGAAAATTTTGTTACTATTGCCAAAAGTATTAGCCTTAAAAGATGTTCAGTTGCATGTCATGCCTAGTAAGTGTTGCGACAGATAAATGGGGAAACATATCTGAACATTGCAAAAGTACAAACTGCAATAAAAATTGAAGTTACAATCAAACAGATGGCACAATATCAAATGGATGGGTTAATAAAATACCTCTCCGAATTTTGAATCAGTTGAAGTGCTCGATTGTGATCCCCTGGCCAGAAGTGGAAAAGGGGTATGAGACAAATAAAGCATTTTGAAAAGTTTAGATTCCTAATAGATGTAAGACCAATGTGTTCCACCTTTTGTCTACACCCTTGATAAAAGTAGAGAACACTCTGCATTTACCATCCGTAGACGTTGTTGCAAGATATATCTGAAGAAATACAATAGCAAACAATCTAGTGTTACATTCAATGGGAACAGGTCTTGCACCTGCATCTACATGACAATACCAGCTCACACATAGTGGCATACATATAGAGAAAATATACAACAAAA